TTTTGCCACAACATGCTGTAAGTCTGCTAGATAGATATATATCCCATTCTTTTGCATTCTAGTGCTTTGAAATAAGAGGTTTCATTATAAATTAGACAGTTTCAGTTTTCAAATGTGGCTAAACGATTTATTCTTTCTCCGTGGAACAGTTCGCAGCAGAAAACTATAATTAACGCAATGGCTGTGAATGAGGATGGAGTGATGGTCACTGGAGGTACTAACTTCATTCCGCAATTGATTGTTTTTCTACATCGCCTTACATTCATTATCCTTTTTTTAACTCTAATTTGTCCTATGTCTATATACAAATGAAGGTGATAATGGAAGTATATGGTTCTGGGACTGGAAGAGTGGCCACAGTTTCCAACAGTCAGAAACTATTGTACAGCCCGGTACGTATATTCATAGCTTGTTTTGTGTTCGTTTGTTCTTGATCTGCGTGTAAGGTAAGATTGTAGAAGTCTCAGCATGGTAATTTACCATAAAACGTAATCAAATTTGAGTGTTGAAAGTGTATGATTAAGCTCTAGAGAACGATAATGTGGCCTCCATTGTTTAATGAGTAGTATTAATGGGGTCTTACTTGATGTTATGTTGGGCAAATGGCAGGTTCACTGGAGAGTGAAGCGGGTATATATGCAGCATGTTATGATCATACAGGTTCAAGATTAGTAACATGTGAGGCCGATAAGACGATAAAGATGTGGAAAGAAGATGAGAACGCAACTCCAGAAACTCATCCTGTCAATTTCAAACCACCCAAGGAGATTCGGCGCTTTTAATAATCTCATCTCTGTTTGTATCCCAAAGCTGTTGTTGGAATCTCATTAGTCTTTCCTTGGAGATGATTAAGGGTGTCTTGTTTTTGGGTGAGAGAGAAAGTGACCATGTACTTTAATCTTACGTTTGTAATGTATTCTGTTAACAATAATAGTTTATGTACTTTTATGTTTAAGAATCCGTATTTACTTTCTCTTCAATCTCTTTTTTTTTTTCTTTGGTTCTTAATACGACCATTCACGTGAAAATTTATGTTTTTGTACTTTGTAATCACTAATGTTACTAATAGCATGCGAGTTATATGTTAACATGCGAAAACATATGTTTCATGATTTTTAGCAAAACATATGTTTCATGATTTTAGCTCTTTCTAGACAAACCATGAGTCATTTGGACTTGCATGTATCTTCTCTTTGTTACTTGTTCTCTAATAACTCACTCACAAGCTTTAGAGGTACAATCAGTGGCTCTGTTGAAGCAAAAGAGCTCTGTTGATGCAATCTCTTGCGAGAGACGCACTCTGTAAGCATATGATAAGCATATTTTTCCTCTCGTTTAGTCGAGATTTTTTTATTTATTTTGTGTTTCTCTTTATATAACACATGAAACCTTCGCACACTATTGTGTGATCTCTTAATGGATATGATCCAGCTGCACGAGATCAATATCGGTATACAAGCCGCTCAAGAGAGCTATCTCTTAATGGATACGGCAGATCCGCCCAAGGGAGCAAGCTTTTATTTTATTTTTACTTTTGTTTTTTTAGAACTGTGGGAACAAAAAAGTGAATATTTTTACAATTAAAAGGAAAAATATAATTAACAGTTAACTGTTATTTGGTCGCAAACGTTATTGGCGAATGAGATGGGAAAGACATTGAAGACGAATACAAAAATTTTAGCATGGTCAAAAAGATATATGCAGACAGGTAAGTATCATCCCATTAATTCCATCAAAATGCTTCCACGGATCGTCATTATCACCATGCATATCAAAGAAAAAGTCATAGAAGATTTAGTAAAATGAAAGAAAAATATCTTGATGAAAACTTTAGAACTTTAGAGATTTTTTTTTATTATCTTTTGTATTCATGTCGAATTTTATTAATTGAGTTTTATGTAAATCTGTGTTTGTATTATATTTTATCATATGTTGATAAATCGATTAGGAAAAAAAAACTTTCACATAAATTTTGCTTATAAGAAGTTATTATTTCATTTAAATTATGTAATATGCCAGACATTTTCTAAAGATGCATGATATCTATATAATCAGATCCTATAAAAAAGATGGTAAAAATATTGATGGATAATTTATCTTATAGAAAAGAATGGTATAATCTGATCTTATAGAAAAAATAGTAGAAATATTTATGGTGATAGAAAATCAATCTCATCTTTACCTAACCATGACTGGTTTGTTAATTGAGAAAGCTGGATTAAAAAAGACGGGTTGCTAGACCCGGTTTAGTGATTTCCTATGGTTTATGGCTGAGGGAATGCCAACTTGACAAGTGTAATAGACTTTAATATATAATCAAAGCGTAGTATATTTTCTCTATACTCGAGCTGAAAAGTGAAAACAATTTTGTTATAAGGAGAGAGAGATTGAGCAATTCTGTATATCAAGAAGAAGATAGTGAATTGCTGAAAAACCCAAACTTGAGACGTAGGATTTTACTCATATCTGAACTCGTTAAATCTTCTACGTCATTCTGTTTACTACTTTGATTGATTGATTCGATTCTTTCTGGTTCTTGAGAGATTGTGAGGCTTGTGAGTGTTATTCGATTTTGAGGTTTCACACATTTTTTGGTGGAATCATCACAAGAAGCTATTTGATAGACTTACACCGATCATGTAATGTAAAGAAAAAATATTTTATGAAAACTTTAGAGTTTTGAAATTATTTTTTTTAACCTTTTTTCTCCATATCTAATTGATGTGATAATCTAATTCTTAATCACTAATATTACTAATAGGTGAGTTTTGAACATGCGTTTCTTACCAGATTTCTTATATTTACTTATGGTGTCCATCAGTATTCAAACTTTGTGCAGTGAAAATGCTTAAATCGATGTTTTCATTTATAATTTAACATCTAATTCTGATTTTATCTTGAAATGATTTGATTTATAATTTTTGGTTTTTCCTTTAAATTATTGTAAATTATTAAAATTGTTTTGTAGAAAGAGAATATATAATATAAATAGATTCATAAATTGTTGTTTGTTACAATTTTATCGAGAAGAATACATTTGTTGTAGAGCTTTACGACATGAGCAAGTTCATGATCGACATATGAGATCATAGATCTAACCGATATGAGGTTATGATTCTTCAAGTGTAATCATTCATGATTTCAATCATTAACATAGGTGTGGTGAAACTAAAAATCGAATCTAACAAGATGATGATGACTCGAGCGATGGCGAATGGTTTTATTTCTCTAAATTTCTCATAATTCCTATGTTTTATGTTATGCAGTAGACTCTAATCATGTGGCAAGTTTGAACGGATGGCTCAACACAAATAGGCGTAGTTAATTGTTTGCTTGTACTAATTCATAATTGTAATATATATACATACTAAAGACAAAAAAATACGACCATTCGATCACGTGAAAAAATATGTTGTTGTACTTGGAACAACAGACAATAACTTCGATAAATTGCATCACGACCAAAAAGAGTCTGGCCAAATTGAGTCTTTTCAGTTATTATAGTTTTTTAATTCTTTTTATTATGTGTATTTCACTCTTGGAATAATTTTGTTTAGGAATTTTGAATAGTTCGTAGTAATAAGGTAGCTAATATATAGTTCTTGAATATTACCCTGTTTTGTGTTTCTTGAACACATATATCGTGGTTTGGGTTAGTTGATCAGGTACGAGTAGTTCTTGATTGAAATTGTTGTTTCAAATTAATCTGAAATGGTATACATATTCAAGAATAGGATTTTATAGTTGTTGAATATTTTTTAATAATACTAGTAACTTCGAGCATTTGAAAAGTTTGTACGACTAAAAAAAGGGTTCTTGATCAAGCACCTATATCTCTACTACATAGAAGCGTTTGTAACACTCGTAACATTGTCTCACCGGAAGTAATATCGATATTGTACTTAAAACATTCGATCCGAGATTTCTAAAACATATCCAAAAACTCTTGATCAAACTATCTAACTTCACACATTCTTATCAAATTCAACTCTAAACTTTCCAATCCAATTTATATCCGATAGTCAGTTTGTCCATAAAAATAAAAAATATGATATGAAACTCGAGTACTTTCATAAACATATCTTCATACACATATTATACTAAGTTTCAAAATGTGGACAAAACATCATATAAGTTTTGGCAAGGACTCTAGATCTCAAAACATCAACATACATAATATAAACATAGATTTATTATACAAAAAAATATAAGCTCTTTTAAATTCGCAAAACCAGAGTAGTGCGATCCAAGATGTTTTTTTTTTAATTATCTCTAGATGTATTGAATACTGAATGCGTCAGGAACAATCAAATCCTTTGGAAATAAAAACAATATATTTTCAATAAATAGTAAATGATTGATAGTAAATCTCATCGTTTCGTACGATGACACCTGCTCGTTTGTTATGATACGTAAGAGACACGTTTACAGTAGGAATCAGCATCATATGATCATATCTAAGCCGACCTCTTCAGATCTTTTGCATCGAAATTACTTGTTTATTCGCCCATCGTTATTAACTTTTACTGCAAGTATCGTTTAATGTGTTTTGCTTGCTTCTTTTATGTGTTTTTAATTTTAATACAATCAGCAAAACACCCACAATGTAAATTTCAATTCTTCCCTTCAAACGAATATACGTAGTACTAATTAAATTGTTAGTTTTCAGTATTTAATACCATTACTTCTTTTAACTAAAACTAAACCGCATACAAATTGAAAAAAATGTGATTTATCAAACGAGACCAGATTACAAGCAATTTACTTTCGTTAAAATTTTTCTTACAGTAGCAAAACCAAAAATCAAACAACTGAAATAAACCCAAACCATAAACTAAATTACTCATTCCTGTAAGTTAACATTTCACATTTTACTCAGCTGAGCTCTGTTTACTTTGGCAGCAATTATGATAATGTATGGACCCCACCGAAAACTCATGGGGCCGCAATAAGGCCCATGAGCCCAAAACAATAATCTTTCCGTGGTTGTATTATATATAAGCGCGCTCAACCAAAACCCTAAAAGACTCCCAGAAACCATCACCGGAGAATCTGACGGCGGCTTATCACCGGCAGCTACTGCAAAAGGATTGTTTACTTCTTGAGGGTAATAACTTACCTTGTAAGAAGAATAACGTCTTTTTTTGCGGTAGCTAAAAGTTAAGCTCCATCGGGTTTATCTATATTATATTATCAAATATATTTGATATCTAAATAAGAAAAAATGGCCGCTCGTTCACTCTCTGGCGCCGTCAAATCTCTTTGCTCCGCCGCATCCGGCAATCTCTCTGGTTCCATTGTCTTAAGGTACTTTTGTCTAAAATGATCTGTTTTTTTTTTAAAAAAAAAATTAAACATTTCTATACACTTTCTTTTATTTGCTTAGATCACGCACTTTCTATATTCTTAAAATAATAATACCAATGATGTATATGAGTATACGGCTAAAGATTGATCTACCAGACACGTGACTTAGATCTAATAATTTTGAGAATTAGTATATAGCCATAGTTTATCATTTATCGAAAACCGTGAAACGTAACGATTACTATGCATGATATTATCAGCTTATCAAGTTTTTTATATTATTTAGTTTTTTCTGTTTGGCAAAATATTCCTTGAAAACACATTTATTAGTAATTTATTTACGTTGTATTGTGTTCTTGGATTCTAGGAGGAGTTACGCTTCGACTACAGCACCAGGATTCAGTAAGGGATGTTCCACCAGAGTTACGGTGGGGAAGGTCGAACAAAGAGCAAATCAAGAAGCAGAGTCTGCGTCTGCGTGGGGCCCAGATCCAGTCACGGGATACTACAGACCCCTGAATCGTACGGATGAGATTGACCCAGTGGAGCTCAGAGAGATGCTTTTGAAAAACAAAGCCAAGTCTTTCTGAGGATTTGGTTCGGTTCGGTTCGACCGGAGGCTGTTGTAGGCGATTATTATGATTCCGCTTGTTTATTTTTGTCTTTATATATCTCTGTATGTTGGAGATTTAAGTACAAATAAAAGATAAATATAAAACAGTTAAAAGAGTATAATTTGTTTACAGATTAAGATGAGATCCTAGAGTAATTACAAAAGAGCATATTAGGTATTTGAGTACTTGACTAGCATAACTAACAAGGATTGAGAAATCAAAGTGATATGCGTGATTCTGTTTCCTTAAAACTTAAAACAACGTCAACAAAAATAAGATACTTTTATTTTCGAATCATTTTGTTACCATTTCTTATAGTTGTTCTTGACAATAGCAAGATCATGTAGGAGGGTGTATTGGATGTAGGAGGGTGTATTGGATTAAGAATTTAAAAAAATTGGTTGTTTTAAAAGTATATGTTATTGAATTAATGATTTATATATATCTCGTCAAGAACATGAAATGATACTTATGTAAACTATAAAAACTAAATTAGATCCATTGTTATTGGAAATATTTTAAATAGTGAATTTTAAAATATATTGAGTATTTTTAAATAATTTGGTGGAGTTTGTTAATTAAAAATATAGAAACTCAAATTTTATTATTTTAGGTGGATTTCATATAATTTTAATATAAAATTATATCAACTTTTTCAATCCATATAATATCTTCTAAAATTTCATTAAAACTCAAATTTTTCCAATTTTTTTAAAATTTTAGTTTAAATACACCCCGTAGTTACTAGTCTACTACCCTATCATGGTGGCCTTTCGTGTCCATGTTGAGGCGGCTAACAGTAACAACTCAAATACAATGCATTTAGGCGCCTTTAAGTTTCTAAATATGATGTATTTTGGGCCATTTACGGGCCTTATCGAGTAAAAGCCATACAACGCTTGCTTGGTACAATTAGCTAAACGATCAGGATTTCAAAAGTTTTAGTGGTTATTTTCAAAATTTTTGTTACTGAATGATTTCTAAATATTTCACTAAAATTGATATTATTGAACATAAAATTTCTATAAAATTAACGAAAATCGTTTAAAAATCTATGTTTTTTAATCAACAATTTATAAAAACTAAATCAAATTCACTGTTATTAGAAATATTTTAAATAGTCGGTTTTAAAAAATATTGAGTATTTTTAAATGATTTGGTAGAATTTGTTAGTTTAAAATATAAAAACTCAAATGCTAGTGTTTTTGGTGAAATTTCATATAATTTTAATATCAAATCATATCAACTTTTCCAATCTACATAATATTTCTAAAATTTTAGTTTCAATACACCCCCTAAGATAATATCCCTATATGGTTTAGTTACTGCACTATATTGTCTATAATTGCTACATTTTATTTGATTGTTTCTTATTTGCAATCATAGTACTTGTTATCTTTTGATTTTAGAATTACAAATGCTTTCCTAATGATATAACTAGATTTTGGATCCGCGCACTTGCGCGGATTTCTTTTCATAAAATATTTTTAGGCAACACCAAAAATCGGTTTATATTAAACTTTTGTTCAAAAAAATCAGCTTATATTATTAGATCCAAAATTGTGGCCCAAACAGAAATTTTTTATTAGATTATATAAACTATTTTTACGTTATGGTTTTGTGTTCTTAAAATTATTTAAGCTTGATTTTCTATAAAAAAAATATTTTGATTAGCGGATTATCGGTTAAATTTTGTATCAAATATTTTCAAAGTATTATGTTTTATAATGCAAGAGAGATTTTATTTGTTTGTAACTAAGATTTCAATATTTATTTAAGTTTTGTTTGTTTTTGCATCTAGATACTTATTTGCATATAAATGTTCAAATATTATTTTTGAAAATATATGAATACAAAATATATAATATCACAAAATTTGAATATTTAAGATGCTAAAACAATAGAGTTTGGGTGTAGCATTTGAATCTAAAAAATTAAAAGACCAAAATATATTTTTAATTTAAACATTAAAATCAGAGTTTTCGATCGAAATAAAGTCGCATTTTCTCGTAAAATACTAAAATCACGTTGTTGTACCAAAATTGAAAATTCTCATAGAAACTGTAAAAATAACATTTTCCATCAAACAATATTTTCCTGCCAAAAATGTAAATCCACATTTTTTAACAAAATCAAAAATTACTAAAATCATATTGTTCTACCAAAATCAAGAATTCTCGTAGAAACTGTAAAAATAGCATTTTCCATCAAACCGTATTTTGCGTTCCAAAATTGTAAACCCACATTTTTTTTAACAAAGCCAAAATATATGTTTTCTCCAACACCATAAAACCATATTTCATGGCCAAATTTCTAAAATTACGTGTTTTTGTCAAACTTGTAAAATTGCGTTTCTCATCAAAACTTGCAAACCTTCATTTTTAATAAAATCCATAAAACCACATTTTCTGTCAAAACCTATAAACCCCGCCAAAAAATGTAAACCTCGTAAAATCCACAAAATCACGTTTCTGGCCAAATCCCCAAACCCATATTTTCCATAAATTTGTAAAATCCTTAAAATCATGTTTTACGACCAAATTTCTAAACTCATGTGTTTCTGCCAAACCTGCAAAATCGAGTTTCAAAACCCACAAACCCGCATTTTCCCGTATGACTATAATTTCCTGCTAAACCCCATAAAATCTGCAAAATTGCGTTATTCGCATTTTGTAAACCCGTGTTTTCTCCTAAATACCATGAAATCTGCAAAACCAAAATTCCTAAAATCATGTGTTTCTGCTAAATTTACAAAAACGCATTTCTTGTTAAACCAACATTTTCTTGTAAAATATATTTTCTGCTAAAACTTATAAAACTCGCTAAACCTTGTAAAACCCGTAAAATCTACAAATTTATGTTTGTGAAATCCGCAAACCCATGATTTCCGGTAAAAAAATCATTAACAAACACTGAAAAAATTATTTACATAATATTTTTTTCCTAGTATGTATATATGTAACCAAAAAATAATGATTACATATTCATCATTGACTATAATGTCACATTTAATAAATATCATATTAGCTTTTAAACATTTTAAAATAGTGCTTTTTAATTGTATAGAGAAGAAATTGATTATAATATAATATATATTTAATTTATAATATAATATATATAATTATATTAATTATTCATGTCATATATATTTGTGGTAATTATGTTAAATATTATGAAAGATTTTGAAATAATTTTGAAAGTAAATTAGTTTAAATTTTTATAAAATATAAGATATAATTTATTAGTATTATCTGTTAACAAAATAATATAATTTAATTTAATTTAATGCATTTTTAGGGGTTTAATGATATGACTCAATTATTCTTAATGAATTATTGAAATTGTCTAGTAAATTATTATGACATATATTGTAAATACCACTAGATCCGCGGCAAGTGCATGTTTTTTTTTAAAGGAATTTATTTTGGGCCTTAAGAATGTCTCAGACAACAGATTATGAAATATAAGTTTGGCCCAAGCAGACCCAAAATCTTATATAATCTAATCTCATCTAATATGATCTACATTCAATTAGCAGATTCATCATCATTTTAAATATGTGTTGGGCCACTGCAATTTAAAAAGAACAAAACATAATTTTAAGCAGACGGCCCAAATGAGTATATGACAATCTGTTAGATAATGAAAAGACAAAATATTCATTGTCCAAATTTGGGAAAGTTTCACTAGAGAAAAACCCTAGAATATCGATCGAACAACAAATCTGGACGATTTACTTTTCCTTTAATGATCTTCATGAACCGTACATCATCAAGTCTTAGTTATCAGCTGAAGCTTATCACAAGCATGAATTTCAAGAATGGTTAACTATTTGCGAAGAGTCAGCGATTTGGGGGAAATCTCTAGATTTTGGTAAGTTGTACCATAGTTCTTCTGTATTAGTTTTACTCGTTTCTGCATTTGAGCAGATTACACAATTATTCAACCCGTTTGTGTTTAAACCTTGAAAAGAATTTACGATTACTTCAATCCAATTTCTTCGAATTTTTTTTTCCTATGAATCAGATAATTAATTTCATGGATTTAAACAGGAAAAATAACGCTAATCAAGTAATATGATAGTATATTTTCCAGTTTCATTCAGAAAATTTGTTCCTTTTTACGTTTCTGAAAATGATGAGAAATTAATTGATTTTTTTGTTTTCATCTAAATATTACAATGGCGACAGTTGTTTCAGGAATCACAGGATCTGATATTCAACGACTACATATATAAAGATAAGTTTTTTTCATAATTGATAAAGAAGATATAGTAATCTGATTACATATTTTTCTCCAGTAATATTTTATTAACATGCCATTTTTCATTGCAGAAGTATAGTATCTCCGGCGAAATCAGATATTGGTCCAGGTGAAATCGAAATATACTATGATTCCATCATATAATTTTTACGTAAGTTGAACTTCCCTTTTAACGCATATTTGTCTTATGTATTTGCCTCTGACTGTTAAACTAATGTAATCTCAGTTATAATTACAGATGCAAAAGCTTAGAAGAGGATATCAGCAGAATTAGGCTTACTTATATCTTCTCCAAAAACTATATTTGGGTCTTGACTGGACGGTGTACTACTTCATGAGTGGAGGACTTTCACATGGATTTGCCAATATGATTTGAAGGGTTTGACATCGGCCAGGTTAGTGAAACCAATAAGAGCTCATGATGAGAGTTTTGTGATAGAGAATAGTTGATTGAATAGTATTTGTACGAGTCTATATATAAGAGAAATAGCTATAGGTCGCAAATATTCTCATCTATATTTAGTAGGCAAGTAGTTAGAGAATTTTTCGGTTCTATTGATGATCTTATGGTAAATATTGTAGATAATATTTTCACCTCTAACTAATCGCGTAAACTGATTTTCAAATTTACCATATTCTCTGTTATTAGTTTAGAAAAAGATATGCGTAGATATGATTGACTTTGATATATTTTCGAGATTTTACCATATTCTCTGTTAATAGTTTAGGAAAAGATATTGATATACATGATTGACTTTTTATTATTTGCGAGATTGTTATAAGATCATTAATTTACTTATAACTAATTGAGTAAATAGGATCGTTATATATGTGAAGTACATTTAAAACGAAGTTATCTAATTACTCTTTTGAGAATTTGAAAATGAGCGGGTTTTTGATTAGTTTCAGAAAAGATATAAGTAGATTTGTTTAAATTCATTTGAATTATAACCAAGATTTAAGATGATGATAAACTTGTTAAGATGCATTGACTGAAAAGAATCTCAAGTATTCGATAGCATAAGAATTGCTCCTGCTTGCTTCTTAGCTCATATAAGTAGATATGGTTGAATTTGAATTATTTTGCGGATTTAAGGTCTAGATAATACGGTTTAGATGAATTGCCTTTTTGGAAAGATTCAAGTAAATGTCTCGGTTAAGATGCTTACACGCTCTGGGATGAAAACGCTGTATGATCACAGTAATTCTTGAAATTTACTTGCATCTGAGTAAATCCACTACATATTATTGGAGAAGTAACATTATTGAAAATAGCTGACTTGTCAACACTACAGCCAAAGTTAATGCTTTTAATTGATGACATGCAAATGTGACATGTCAAACTTCATAAAATAAACGAAATGTTTTGATTGGTTGAATTAAAACTATAAAAATTATAGAATCAAAACGTAAATAAATAAATTATATTTATAACACTACAATTAAAAAAATTTAAATTAACAAAAAATAAAGCTATTATAATTTCAATTTTTTTACATATATTCATAATTTCCTAAAATATAATTACGAATTTTTTTCAACTTTCATATGAAAACAAAAAAATAATATTAAATTATCCAATAGAATAGTAAAAATTTTATTTGTTAATAATACTTTAAGTATGATATATTTTTATTTTGGAAAGTTATTAATTTACAAAATATAGTAATACCATCAAAATTTTTTTAAAATAATACAATTTTAAATAAAATACAATCATGATAAAAATAATTTAAAGAATAAAATGTTAAAAAAATAAAAAATAATTAACTTTTATTGATTTTTTTTAAAACGTAATTTTAAATAATTTTTCTATTCAAACCAATATTTACTAAATAAATAAAGTATATACTAATTATTATTTTATAATATTAATAGGACCATATATTTTTCTATAATTATTATCATATTTTTATTGTTGTTTTCTAAAATATACATAACTTATGTTACCATCTCATCTTATCTCTTATCATATTTTAAATAAATATAAATTTTTATATCATATTAATATATATATATATATATATAAATTTATTTTTATTGTATATCAAAATTTTGAGATCATAAATGAATTGAAAAATAACAGAACGAAAAAATAAATTATAATAATATGAAACAATATCCACTACATATTATTTGAGAAGTATCATTATTGAAAATAGCTGACTTGTCAACACTACAACCAAAGTTAGTGCTTTTAATTGATACCATGTAAATGTGACATGTCAAACTTCCTAAAATAAACGAAATGTTTTGATTGGTTGAATTAAAACTATAAAAATTATGGAATTAAAACATAAATAAACTAAATTATATGTATTACACTAAAATTTAAAAATTTAAATTAACAAAAAATAAAGCTATTATAATTTTAATTTTTTACATTTATTCATAATTTCATAAAATATAATTACGAATTTTTTTCAACTTTCATATAAAAACATAAAAATAATATTAAATTATCCAATAGAATAGTAAAAGTTCTATTTGTTAATAATACTTTAAGTATGATATATTTTTATTTCAGAAAGTTATTAATTTAAAAAATATAGTAATAACATCTAAATTTTTTTAAAATAATACAATTTTAAATAAAATACAATCATGATAAAAATAATTTAAAGAATAAAATGTTAAAAATAATAAAAAAATAATTAACTTTTATTGATTTTTTTTTAAAATGTAATTTTAAATAATTTTTCTTTTCAAACCAATATTTACTAAATGAATAAAGTATATACTAATTATTATTTTATAATATTAATAGGACCATATATTTTATATAATTTTATCATATTTTTATTGTTGTTTTCTAAAATTTACATAACTTATGTTACCATCTCATCTTATCTATTATCATATTTTAAATAAATATAAAATTTTATATCATATTAATATATATATATATATATACATAAATTTATTTTCATTGTATATCAAAATTTTGAGATCATCAATGAATTGAAAAATAACAGAACGAAATAATAAATTATAATAAGATGAAACAATATGAATAGTTAATAAAAATATAAGTATATAAAAATAAATCTCTCGCCCTTTGTTTTACAAAGTCACTTAAAAAAATTTTAACACGTAAGAGCCATATTTCAATTTTTTTACAAATACGCCTACAGAAATAAATATTAATTTTACATTAGTTGAAGTCACATGCGAACTTTTTCGTGCATGTATTTTGTTAAGATTGATTATAGTCTAATTTTTATTTTTATTATTATACAATTTATATTTTAAAAAAACTCTTTATCTATTCTAAGTGTAGTGAAGTGGTTGGTATACTCGCACATGCGTGCCAACCATCTATCCGCTCTTAGGAATAAGTAAAAATGGTAAAAACTATTTCAATTTAATTTGCAATAAATCAAGAAAAATATATACTTAAAATATATTATATATATATTTGCAAATTCATATTATGTAAACGCAAAAAAACATATTATAGATTGTGTAAAGAGAAATAAAGATTCAAAAAATATATTATAAGAATTTAATTATTAGTTAACATAATTTTTATATTTGTGATTATATATTATTACAAGCATTATAAAAATAAAAAGTTTTCGAATACAATGGTTTCAGAAATAAGTTTGTGAAATATTAAACAATATATATACAAGCATAACAATGTTTAAAAATACTAATCAATATTTAAATATTACAATTAACTATGTATATCAAAAAAGTTATACCCGCACATATGTGCGGGCCAACCACCTAGTTTTAATCTTATATTTGCAGGATAATTGAGTTTATGCTCCACAATGATGGTTTAGATGGTTATACGCAATCTCGATTTAGATGAATCACAATTTATCGATGGTGTAGATAAATTTAATATTAAGGACACATAATAGTAGGTTAGTCATAGGATTAGTTAGGTATGATTAGTGTATGATTAAATCAGAAATGCCCTTAATGAAATTTTAAAATGTTCTAGCAAACCCAATGGCATGACTTATAAATATCACGATAGGATTTAGACATATTTTAGCAGTGATCCTCTTTTAATAGTTTAGATGGTAGCTTTTGAACATTTATTAAAAATGATTTTCTTTTAATAGTTTAGATGGGACTTACCATAAAGTTTAGATACATGAACTATTTGTTTTGACTTACAATTAAAAGAGGAGAGAGATTTATATAGAATTTAAGAATTATGAGATTCCATCATTATTAGTTTCTTAATTTTTCAAATCTTAATAAAATCCATTGTTATTGGTTTAAAGACTTTTAAATTCCATCCAACATCTTTTGTTATTCAAACAATCTAGCTATCATTGATTTTGAAATTCTATTAAAATCTAACAGTATTAGAACATGGATTTTATGCAGTTTTACTCATAAGACTCAACTTTCAAAATATCAGCTATATACCTATGATTTTTGAAATCCAAACATACAAACAAAAAAGAAAAAAACACCCAAATAATGATAATTGCATCGACTGATAGCTATAACATAACAGTTTCAAACCAAAGCATAACAATTTCAAATCAAAGCATTGTTAAACGTAAAACATGAAAGTTTCGAACCAAAAAAAAAAATAATACCATGACAGTTCAAACCAAAAGAAAAATCATTCTCACCATCAACGTTGACTTCCAGTTCCCACAGCATCTGCCCACATTTTAAAAGCTATCTCATTTCTCCAATTATTAGCATACTCTCTTTTCTGAGTATCAAGGATGCCTATATTTCCATTTTCTTCAGAATCAGTATCTTTTTCATTGTCTACGTTGACCACTTCTTCAGGAATAGCATTTGATCGGTATTGTTTCCGTAAAAAAATATGTAATCCAGCACAAGCTAAAACCAACGCTTGTGTTTTAAAAGAGAAAGGAGGTGGAGATTTGAAAATTAGAAACCGAGATTTGAAGATACCAAATATTCTCTCGATTACGTTTCTCAAAGATGCATGTTGTAGGTTGAATAACTCATTTTGGTTTGCAGGATCACGACCTTCACCTCTAAATTCTTGTAGGTGATACCGAGTACTTCTGAATGGCGATAGGAAGTTATGACGATTTGCAAATCCACAATCTACGAGATAAAATTTTCTTGAAAATTATGAACAAATGATCCAAGTCAATTATATATAATAAAAACGTCTTGTAATTTCTATATGAACTATGTACCTTCTGGAACTTTTAACCTGGAAGTGCTCCTTGTTAAAGCATCATTTAATATTTTTGAATCATGAGCTGAACCTTCCCATCCACTAAGAACATACATTAACTATCGTTCAAAGTTGCAAGCAGCAAGAACATTTTGTGATACAAATCCAAATCCTTTACGATTACGATAGCTAGCCACATCACATTTTTGGTATCTTTGCAAAAATATGTGTGCCATCAATAGCTCTGATGCAATCTTATAATGATAAAAATTGAACTCTAAAATAAAAAAGTAGCTGAGGATAACATATCAATGCTTGAGACAAAAATCATGACTGTGTACCTTAAAATAGGGATAAAATATTGTGCTTTCTCTTAACTTTGCATATGTTCTGACTCCAGGTCGCGCCATTAAATCTGGCACCAATGTATTTAAAGCTTTTAGAACCTTATGAAAATTCTTGCTAGTCGCAAATACCGATCTCTTAAATGTGTCTATTGTATAACAATATTTTGAACTTTGACCAATGGTGAGAAGAAACGTAGCCACCATTTCTTCAACACATATGTTGCGGGTGTCTTGTAGAGCTGTCTTTGTTCTAATAAGATCACATAGCTTCTCAAAAAATGTTGGATACATACGATATAACGATCGAAAGTGTTCAGGTTCCTCCTTGAGAGTCCTTTGAATGTAAGCATAGCCAATGTTAGTAATCGGTCGACGATGGGGGCGTTCAATACGATTGGCATCTTTCACAGTAGCTCTAGCTATATTTTCCAACATTAATAGCATAATGTCCAAATCTGATTCACCATCTTCTATTTGGATTGCTTCTTCTTCACGAGCATTTTTCAGGATAAACCTACAAGAATATAACACTATTATTATAAGAATACTTAAAAAGACCAAGAGGAAGTTCTCTTCAGATAACATGACGAAGATAGATAGCTGAAATATAACAAATATATGAACATAAGATTCCTTCTTAGTTAGCTATGAAGAAATATATGAATATAAGAGTCCAACCATACCACTACATGCAAATACTCTACAGTACGTGATATGGAAAGTGATCTGTCTCGTCCTTGGTCCAAGTTGGAACACAATCAACTAAGTCAACACTATCCAAACATGAGCATGTATAGTATCAATGCAGAAAATGTCTTCAATGTCATACATAAATGCGTAAAACAAATACTGCTAAAGCACGAAACAGAAACTCAGAAATGATTCTAAAAACTAACATGAACTATAGTACAAAAGCCACAATATGACATAAACAATGCAAAAGTAAATAGCTATAAAAATTGATTAACGTGAACTATAGTATTATGAGAAATATTAACGCATAAATATTAAGCCAAAACCAGAAATGTTTAGGCATAAATATCAAATTAACAAACTGAAACATCATCAAAAACAAAACTGAAAAATCAAAACAAAGACCAAGTGTATAACTAAAGCGAAGATCACTTGGAGCTAATATTGGCTTTGATCCAACATTCCAACCATAACGTTCTTCTAGAGACATATCAGCAAAGACATCTTTCATTCCTAAGGAATAGATAAGGGTAACAGCTTTGAATTTGGTATGTTCATCCAAATTAGTGATCTCTTTCATAGCATCCCAAACACCGTTTTCCTTTTTCTCAGCTTCTCTTTGCTCAGCTTCCTTTTGTTGTCTTTCTTCTCTTTGTTGTATGATACTAAGGATCTTGTTGCTCACTGTGACCACAGAATCATTGTATCACTCTTCAGCTCCTTTAAATTGTTGCATGCTTCAGTTCTAAATCTCTTTCTTGGGCTAAATTTCTCGACATGACCTTTTAGATTTTTGTCTAAAATAGGTGATGCATCATTACCATCATCGCCACTCTCGCAAAAAACCAAGGTTTCTTTCACTTGGTCATCACCAACTCTGCAAGTGGGTGCATCAGTAGTATCACCCAATCCAACTGACTTACTACCATTGGCGGTTGCACCATCAAATACAGTTTGAAGATCTTCAAACATATTATGGGAGTCGTAACGCATATATCTGTGGTTTGGATGTACCTGTCAAATTCCATTACAAAATAAATAGATTAACATACAATCACGATTTTTTTTATTATTAAAATTTATGTAAAAAAAAGACATACATTTAAATATCCATTCCACACTTCTTCAAAAGCTGTACACTTTTTTGTCTCAGAATCCCATCCGAACCCAGAGTTGTTAAGTTGAAGATCCAAATAACTTTGGTATTGGACTTTCAAGTACTTTATTCTGTTTTGATATTGTGTATATGTTTTTTGGCATCCAAGTCTTTCAATGAGGACTGGTAGTATTTTATTTTCCACGGTTAACTTGGTAATCAAACCACAAAAATCACGCCATCCACGCTTAATTCCATCCACAAGTAACTTAACCAATACTTTTGTTTCTTCAGGATTCCATTTATTATATTGATTTTTTTTTTTAGTCGAGTGTCACCCATTTTTTTTTTCAAAAACTAATCATAGTTAGTATAAGAACAACGTAATATCTAACAACTATTTTAAAGATTATGCAAACATAAAATATCAAAGTCAAAAACACAGAAAAACAAAAATCAAACTTAAAAATAATACACAAATTTGCAAAATATAAAATAATATATGTTGAGTAGAGAACAATCATATGAACATAAATAAATCAAAGCAAAAAATAAAACACCAAATATAAAACATAAATTAATAATAAAAACAAAGAAATTACCTGCTTTTTTTTGCTTGATGGAAGAACAAGATGAAATAGCAATAGGCCAGTGATAAAATCACGTTATATATATATATATATATCCCCTATATATTAAAAGAGAAGCATTTTTAAAAAAATAACCTTAATTTTGTAAAATATTACAGTGATGTCATTTTGCTGATGTGTCATCACCAGAATCATTTTCAGCAAAGTTATAAAAATAGACTTATATTACTATATTAATTACATGTTATGCAACTCACATTAATTTAGTTATACATTAGTTTATAATTTTATATAATTATATTAATGATGATTCATCAAGATATTCTCTTTTTCTATTTCTCACCAAAAATATATCATATTAATTATCTCTTTAAATACTATATTTTATCTCTTATTTTTATAGAAAAATAAATCATCACATCATTCATATAGTAAAATATATATGTATATATATATATTTCTGCTATAATTCAAATTTCATTAAACAAATATAAATTACTCAAATGATTAATAAATAAAAGTATGTTTTTAAAAACTAAAATTGAAAATAAGGATGTGTAGATAGATGATTCATAAATCAATATAAAAATACATAAATGATAAAGAAACAGAAAGCTTAATTTAATAGATATTATTATTTTTAATTTATACAACATAATAATTTGGTAAAAAATTAAAACATTTTTGTAAGGATATTATATAATAATTTTATTAAAATTTTTGATATTAAAAATATTTTTATTGAATCAAAAAGTTAAGAATGTATAAATATTGACTCAGTTATATACAATTTTAGATAATTTATTAAAAATAATAAAAAATATAATATTTTTATATAATTCTTATGTATATTTAGTATTTAAAATAAATTTCACAGTAATTTTATTTTCTTAAAAGTTAATATTCTTATGACTATTGTTTTTGCGGATTAATCTAAATATGCATTTACATTCGTATAAGAAATATTAAAATCGATTATAAAATCTTATAATCAAATTTTATTTTTACAATTTTAATACTCTCTATTTCAAAATATAAGTTGTTTTGCATCAAAGCACAAAGATTAAAAAGCAACTTTTCTTTGGAAAAAATAATTATTTAGTATATAATTAAATATAATTCAACTAATTATGAAAAACCGAAAAATATAATCGGTCACATAGTTTTCATAGGAAGTAGTAAAAAATATGAAAACAACTATATTGTGAAACAAAACAAAATCTTAAAAAAATAACTAATATTATGAAACATTGGAAATAGTAAACAAAAATTATTATTACCATAACGCATTAGATACTTAATAATTTAATCAAAATATACTCCCTCTATTTTTTTTCTAGAATTTTAAGTTCATGTTATTAATCATGGGTTATAGAAAGTATAAAGAGTGGCTTCGTATTTCTATCCAGATTGCGCATATATATTTAATTTTTAAACTAATTTACATTAAATTAAATTACCCTAAAACTAATAAAATTAACAAAAAAAACATATTTTGTCAATATTACAGCATAATGTTATAAACAATTCATATAAAATCAATTGTATTTTGTTATGTGATTTTAAAATTATATTATATTAAATAAATAATTATTATTTCACTCCGCACAGGATGCGGGTTATTACCTAGTATATATATTATGTATCACATTAATGATTTATTTGGAAATTTTCTAAAGCATATACATAATACAGGTTACCTTAAAAGTCAATGAAAATCAACAATAATCAATGAGCATTCTTAGCAATATATTCTAGGAATCCATATAAATCCACTAAATTTTCTTAAAATCTCTCAACTTTACAAATTCTTAAATTCTACATAAATATCTCTCCTAATAACCCCCCTTAATAAGTTTCTGTATGACTTTGGGGAATATACCGCATCATTTATTTCAAACTATGTTCCGCTTGGCATTGAAAAACTGAGTCCATACTAATTTTTGCATTACGAGATATCGTATTCATGTTTCTGGCAGAATCTTTCATTTTAAGACTGGAGAAATCATTTTTATCTTTAATTATCATATGCGTTGTAGCACTGACTGCCATACATATATCTACATCCTTTGTCTCAAATTCTGATATTTTCTGTATTTAAAAGTTCATAATGATGCATTAACAAGTATTAAAAATATACCTGGTAACACAACTTATTGTACAATAGAACATACAACCAAACAAATTAAAAACAAAAGCATATAATACATCAAAAACATTAAACTTTTGTTTTTCTTGTCTTTTTCAGGAAGACATCATATTACATCAATTCCAGTTGTTTTGTTTCCTTTGATTCTTCTGTATCAATAAGGAAAATATGTTATATCAAGATGAGTGTCATCATTGAGACCATGAAAAGAAGGCCTGAGTTCATCAGAAATGAAGTTTTTTTTACTTTCTTTCTCGTTTGCCTTCTGTGATTCTCGGTACAGATCGGTTAAATGTTTTGGTTTATGACATATACATATCCAATGTCATTTCATGCCGCATATGTAGCAAATGTGTTTTTTCTTTTTAAATTCCCCGTCATCATCATTTTCTTGAAAATTCTTATTTTCGTTTCCATAATTGGAATCATTAGGACACTACCTCTTCTTTATCTTTGTCCACATCAGCGATGGCCTCGACCATGGTTTCGACCGCATCCACATCCACGTCCACGTCCTTGCCAATTATTGTAGCTTGATGATCCAGCATTCGCTTTGAAAAATGGTGCAGATCATGTTGGACGGCTTTGGTGGTTCATCATGAGCTCATTATTCTGCTCTGCAACAAGCAGATTATGCATTAACTCCAAATAACAGGTATATCTATTTGCCTGATATTATTGTTGCAAGACTACATTCCAGGGTCAAATGTGGAGAGAGTTTACACAATCATATCATAATCTCTTATAACTTCTTCATATAACACCATTCTGGATGTTATACCAAACATCGCAGAATTTTAATCACTAACATTTTTGTAGTCCTGAAATCGAAGATGTAACCACTCGTGTCTGGCTTTTGGTAAGATCACATATTTTTGGTATTCAAACCTTTCTTTAAGTGATTGCCAGAGATCTGCATGATCTTCTTTGATGATGTACTCATCTTTCAAGCCATCATGATTATGATGACGTAAAAATATCATGGCCTTGTCTTTTTCTCATCTGATGTCGGTTTTGACTTATTGATGGTATCAAGAAACATGTTTCCTCTTAGATGCATTTTTTTCACCTACTGCCTATGTCATATAATTTTTCTGAGTAATATCAAGGACAGCAATTTTGAGTTTTGCTAGATTTGTCATTATAACTAATATCAAAGACAGCAATTTGAGCATAGGAATGGTATAATAAAAGACAATAATTATAAACAAGATAAGAAGGTCGAGCCTACCATATAATTGTAGATTGTATAATAAATAAATGAACAAAGATGGAGATTTTAACTTCTTATACAATAAATATGATCTGAGGAGACATAATTTATTATGTGATCATTTTGATCTTGAATGCATAGTCTGCAATAAAAGTCAGCTCGGAGTAGACATAGCCTACCATCCCAGCATAGTAAATGATATAATTATTTGATCGTAGAGACAGAACCTACTATAACGATCAGCTTGTAGGATACACAGTCTACCATCAAAGCATAATATAAACAGAGAGGGTTGAGCTTATCTTTCTGTAAAAACTAAAAAAATAATAATAAACTGAACCCAAATAAATTTTACTTTCTGAATATAGATCTATTTTTCGAATATATATTAAAAGACATTTATATTGATAATGTGTTAAATAAAACTGTATCACTATATATTAATTTAGTGAAAAGATATATAAATACTATGTGAAATTATAATACTATATAGATGTTTAGTGTTTTATGTATATTAGAAAAAGAGAAAGAGAAAGTACTCAAGTTAAAAGAAAAAAAAAAGGAGAAAAACGTTTTTCTTATTCTTCACATCTCTTTGTAAAAAGTTTCTATATATAGTATGAGATTAAAGTGATAACTCATACACACTTAAAAATGATGATATTTTAAGAGATAATTATAATACAATTTGAAATGAAGACGTATAGATTGATGTATAATCATCCATATACATAACAGCAGCGTCTTATGTTGGCCGAATCATTTGTGCGACAAAAAGGTTTCACATTGATAAATATTAATTTGTGCAGTAAAAAGATTAATAATTATATATTAGTATTATAATTAAAGTAATGTAATAAAATATAATTTTATTGTTGTTTTAAATTTATAAATATTGTTCGAATCATTTTAAATTTTTGAATCTTGTATCGTCAAAAACAATTTTATATTATCTCTTAATACTTATTAAGAGTCCAAACCAAAAACTATCTCAATTAATTAATAATTTTAGAAAATAATAATCAAATTTGAAGTTTTAGTATGAATAATTTATAGAAATTATATATATATATATATAATAGATGAATGGGTCTTTTAGGAGATGACACATCAATATTTCTTTATTGTTTCAATATCAACAAATCAACAATTTTAAATAAATAAAAATTGACATATATAACTAATAAATAAAAACTATCTATTTTAAAAAACATTAGAATATAACTAAAAATTAAAAGAATTTTTTAAATTTAATTTAATAAGATCATAAAGATTAATGTTAAATCTATTTTTAACTTTTTCTTAGTGATTTAATCATTATTTTCAAATAAAAA